ATACAATAGACAAATATGTACAAAGTTTAGTGAGAAAGATACAGCTTGGTGTAAGGTAAAGGTAAAGGGACCCCTGACCATTAGGTCCAGTCGTGGCCGACTCTGGGGTTGCGGCGCTCATCTCGCTTTATTGGCCGAGGGAGCCGGTGTATAGTCATGTGGCCAGCATGACTAAGCCGCTTCTGGTGAACCAGAGCAGCGCACGGAAATGCCGTTTACCTTCCCGCCCGAGCAGTACCTATTTATCTACTTGCACTTTGATGTGCTTTCGAACTGCTAGGTTGGCAGGAGCAGGAACCAAGCAACGGGAGCTCATCCCGTCGTGGGGATTCGAACCGCTGACCTTCTGATCAGCAACTCCTAGGCTCTGTAGTTTAACCCACAGCACCACCCGCGTCCCTTTCTACAGCTTGGTGTAGATGGGGTCAAATAAATCCATCTCCTTTACAGTTGATAGCTATCTCGGCTATATAATTTTTTCTAATTTTCCTGGTGGCAGTCACAAAAAGTGTTACACGCCAGGTCACATACTTATCTACATCTGTGAGGAGATAAAGAATCATGTCAGATGGATTCTGGCCAGGGGACCTTGTCATTATAGGTGTCAAAAACCGTTCTCTTGCTTCATTATATAAGGGGCAGCGTAAGGTATAATGCGTAAGGTCCTCTAATTCAGGGCATGCCTTAATTACCAGTTCATTTACTGGTTTGCCTCTATGTCTCCCATCATCAGTAATCAAGTTTCTTGCTGGGAGGTGGGGCCAGCCCCATTTATAAACAGGGGGTGGAGCCGACAATAGCCAGGCAATCGACTCTGGAGATTCATCCTCCCTCCCCTCCCTTAGTTTAATGTTTTCTTTTTTACAGGTTAACTTTTTCTTTCTGTTTAGCGGGCGCTGCTACGGTCTTTAACTGGTTGCTGTTGAAGGACAGGGAAGAAATTTTCCTGCATTGGCAGTGAAATATACTCAGAGTCGAGAGTGGATTTCATGCTCTTTATTCGACTCATAGTGGTGAGGAGGAATGGAAGTTCCCCCAGAATGTCTGCTTTATATACATTATTTACACAATGGGCCCCCCGTGATTGGCTAATTCCGGGATTCACCTGTAGGCCAATCTGGGTGCAGATTCACTTCCACCTGGAGCTGGATTGGGTGGCTCCCGTGGACCAATCAGACTGCTGCATTCTGGACCCTATTGTTCTAGGACCAATCAGACTGCTGCCTTTTGGATCCTATTCAACTCAGTACATAACACCCTGGTTTTGTCTTCCCCATAGCAATTTGTCACAACTTTGGGGCTTATGGCCTTGGGTGGAATCCTTTAGCCTTTTCTTCCCTATATGGGGGGCGGGGGCGTGAAGTGGTGACTCACCCCCTTGCAGCGGCGATTCCAGGGTCCCCCTCTTAAAGGGGTTATATATATGGGTGTCACTGGCCATACACCGAAAGGTCATCAGTGAACTACCCTGCATGCGGGGATATGGGCTTGGTTGCCTGCTACACTTACGTCTCGCAGAGCACCCTCATATCCTATTTACTCTGATGAGCTCCAGTTCCCCCTGGCTGGGGGGCTGTGAGGGATACACACCCAAGGCCTAAGCCAAGGTCTTCATACATTTGGAAGTTTAATAAAGTTGAGGCCTAATTTTCATTCCACATAACGTTGTCAGAGTCTTTATTCCTTCCTTATGATCCCTGGGGGCTGGGGCTGTCACCGCCTGGTCACACAGTGGAGAAAAAAGGACTATATTCTGGCCATTGATGTCAATGAACAATGCTACTGTAATGAAGAAATTCATAGCCCTGACAGGCAAGCTTTCTAAAGTATGAGATGGGTCATATCCAAGTGGCCATGCCTTGGTATGTCTTCTGTATCTAGTCTCTTGAACTAGGAAACTAGAGCCGAACCAACATTTCTCAGAATATATATTTTTCCTGAGAAAACATCTGAGATTTTTCTCCTCTAGAAAAAAGATGGCCACTTCCCAGAATTTTCTCTGAACATTTTCTACCATTTTGTGTCTGTGGTGACTCAGTTAACCCATATTCTGTTTAAAACAAGAAAAGCAAGATTTCTCTCTCTGACTGATTCAAGTCTGTGCTGGAACAATTCAGGAATGTTGTTTAATTGGAATAAAATACCTTGTTACTTTGATCCGTTGATATCTTTGCCTACTGCTCAATTTGACGTGTTTCCTTTATTTCTGTTTGATTAAACTGGAAAGCAGACGTTCATGAAAAAACCTCCCCTCCCCAATTTTAAAACTTTGTACAAATCATATATTAATGGAGGACTAACTTTTAATTAGGAGTAAATTATTAAGTGATATAACCAGAGAGAACCAATCAGAATGTGGCTGGAGATTTGGAACGAGATTGGGTTTTATATTAGGAAAACACTCAGTACAGTGGTACCTTGGGTTACAGACGCTTCAGGTTACAGACTCTGCTAACCCAGAAATAGTACCTCAGGTTAAGAACTTTGCTTCAGGATGAGAACAGATATCGTGCAGCAGCAGCGGGAGGCCCCATTAGCTAAAGTGGTGCTTCAGGTTAAAAACAGTTTCAGGTTAAGCACAGACCTCCAAAACAAATTAAGTTCTTAACCCGAGGTACCACTGTACTCTCAGCCTTGTTCTTATAATTTATGTTGGTTTTCCTCAGTGGATATTTTTTCTCCTTCCCCCAACAACACCTTCCCTGAAGGCATGCTGACTTTATGTGTTTGGGAGATGCAGAGTAGATCTGCGCTCTTTGCGTTTTCTTGGCAGACTTGTCTTTTTTGTTGGAATAAGCAACCGTGTTTAATCAATACTGGATAATTCCATGCCTTCCAACATTTCTCTGATGAAAATAGGGACGTCCTCAGGGAAAGCAGGACATTCTGGGATTGAAACAGTTACCATCACCTGGTCACCCACGGCCTTCCCCACTATGGTGAGATGCGTTTCCATCTAAATTATATTAATCATTTCTAAATATATGCCTATACAGATCACCATATACTGATTTCATACAAATTTGTGTCCTCATTTTTGTTGACACAAATCCTGGGAGTGGTTGGAGAAATATATAATTCACCAGGATTGCTCAACAAAATAGGTTCCTCAGGTCTTGAGGTCTGCAGTTTAAACCAGGGAGTCCCTAATTCTGAGAAAATAGTCAGGCTTGACATCAGAACCTGCCATCCCAGCTTACACCTGCCCTGAATCTCTCAGTGTGCAACCGGTGGCCCCCCAGTGGTGAACCGTCATTTTAATTGTCCAAAATTATTATTATTATTATACTGCCCTATACCCAGGGGGATGCGGGTGGCACTGTGGGTTAAACCACAGAGCCTAGGACTTGCCGATCAGAAGGTCAGTGGTTCGAATCCCCACAACGGGGTGAGCTCCCGTTGCTCGGTCCCTGCTCCTGCCAACCTAGCAGTTCAAAAGCATGTCAAAGTGCAAGTAGATAAATAGGTACCACTCTGGTGGGAAGGTAAACGGTGCTTCTGTGTGCTGCTCTGGTTTACCAGAAGTGGCTTTGTCATGCTGGCCACATGACCCGGAAGCTGTACGCTGGCTCCCTCGGCCAATAAAGTGAGATGAGTGCCGCAACCCCAGAGTCAGCCACGACTGGACCTAATGGTCAGGGGTCCCTTTACCTTTACCTTTACATTTCCAAGCACAATTCAAAGTGTTGGTGCTGACCTTTAAAGCCCTAAACGGCCTCAGTCCTGTATACCTGAAGGAGCACCTCCACCCTCATTGTTTAGCCTGGACACTAAGATCCAGCGCCAAGGGGCTTCTCAGGCTGCACACCTGGTCCTTCAGGGGCACAGTTACCCCATTCAGGACCAGGGAGTCCCCCACGCCCACCTGCCCCCTGTCCCCCCAAAACAGTACTTCTGTCTTGTCAGGATTCAACCTGTAGGAATAGCGAACAAATTACACCACTTAAAGGAGACCAAATAAGGAAATGGAAGGTACTCTCCCCTGACTGCTAGGAGTAAAATACTGATGAGAAACTCATTTGATCATTCCAAGTAGTTTCTGGTGCAGTGAAGCTCAATGACTTATGCTGCTTTTTCTGGAACATTAGATAACTGTCAGTTGAGGATGGTGATTTTATGATGTGAAAGATCTCTTTGACTAAAGATGGGAAAGAATTCCCTTTAGATGAGTACTTTGCATGGCGAAAAATATCACTCTTTGCAGTAAGAGTTTAGTCATGACCAGTATGACATTTTTTTAAAACATTCCAAAATAATTCTAGCTTCCACAGAAGTAATTAGTTATGACTTCTGAGTTCTGGTAAGAGCAAAAAAGAAAGAAACAAAGAAAGAAAGAAAGAAAGAAAGAAAGAAAGAAAGAAAGCCTATAGATTGTCTTGACTAGGAAATAATTGGCTGGTTTTAATAAGCAGAGAAGGTTCTTCTTGCACATTGTTAAAGCTGTCTAAAAACTTCTGTAAAGACATTTCTTGTTTTCATAATGTTTCACAATGCCCAGTGGAGCGCAAGTATCAGAAAACATGTGGCATCTCGGCAGGAAAACAAATTTTACTCTGTGAAATGTTGAGACTGTTATTTGGTAAAGAGACCCGCTGTCCCAATTGCTCAGTAATATTTTGGTGCTTGAAAATTTCTCAGTGAATTAGAACTCTACCAAATCTGCCTGCATTTTTCAGAGTTTCAGCTGGATGAATCTCTCACTGTAAAATCATTTTTACTTCCATTTGACTATGCATAACATCCATGGTCTCGTTAGATAGTAAAATTCATGTTAAATTGCTGCTTTAGGGGTTGTTTTTAAAAGTCTGGACCGGATTAATCCATTTTGCATTACTTTCTATGGGAAAGCGCGCCTTGGTTTTGGAACGCTTTGGTTTTGGAACAGACTTCCGGAACGGATTAAGTTTGAGAACCAAGGTACCACTGTACTATCAGGAATTTCATACAGAGGGTGGGCTGTGTTTGTACCTTTCCTTTTCCCCATCTCCAAGCAAGCAGCAAGCAAGCAAGCAAGTAGGTAACTATTTCCTGACTCTGTTGTCACCTTGTCCATTCCCCTGACATTAGTGGTAGCATTATTTATCCTTATGATTCACAGATATTGATGCAGTTTATAGAAAATATCTTCACACGTAGACAACTAGCAGGCTAGGTTACTAGAACCCTTCGTCATCACATTTAATTTTCTATGGGTAGGGATTAAAAGAAAAACATTTTGTTTTTGAGGACCACACAGTCAAGAATGAGCTGCTTGGCAAAGCACGTTCTCCTTCATGGAGAGCACATGTTGCGGTGGGGTCTAACAAGACATCCCACTGTTGCTGGGCGGGTAAAGGTAGTTGGCCACCTTTGCCATTGGGCTCCTCTTGTCGTTGGGGAGAATTTGATGTTGCCATTTTATGATTGACAGCCAAGAAGGTTTATATTTCCTGCGCGCAGCGTTGAGATTCCTCTTTTCGCTGTGTGCATCGGAACACCCGTCCACCCTCCCTCCCTATATTTAGGGTTGTTTGCATTGACCTTGCTATGCCTGTCATGGGGTTGTCTGCTTTTGGGGCAGGGGCCTGGTAGGAATTTTGTCCATTTGGCTGAGTGGCTGGTGCCATTTGGTTTTTGCCTACTGCGTAGCAAATCATCACAACTTGTAAAGTTGTGGTTAGGCATTGGTTTTATGAATTGGTTGGTGGAGGGGCATGGATTGGCTGTGCCTGCCCCTCTAATGCTGCTGCTGCAAGGGATTCCATTAAAGGGATACAGGGGCTCGCCATGCTCTTGTCCGAACCCCTGTCAAGGGGCTAGGGCCACGCAAGAGCCCCTGGGAGCATTTGGGGAGAGGTGAGGGCATGGTTCCCAGCTCCATCTTTCTCCCCAAATTGTTTTCCCTTTCTGACTTTCGCAGGCATGTAAATGTCAGTCTGTCACCAGGCGGGGACAGGTAACCAATGCCTAAGCAACCACTCACATTTTTTTGTATTTTAATAAAGTTGTGGCCAAAATTATGCCAAAAACCTTAAACAAAAATTCTGTGTGAATTGTGTTTTATTGGGGACCTCGACATGAAACCTCTGTAGGCTTCCTCTAAAGGTGTATACAGCCACACTCTCTTGTCTGAAACCAGAGGTAGGTTCCCCTGAAATCTTAGTCTCCCCTTGTGGTTGCTTGGATTGCTTCCATTGTTAGGCTGCCCTGGCTCGCTGGTGAGCCAGAGCTGAAAAGATCGCCCTGTGTATTCTCAAATTACTATATTCTACATGGATTTCCTGCGGCCTTTGATCATAAAAAGATGGGAGCCTGTGGTTTCTCCTTTGTTCTCCAGTGTCTTTCCCTTTTGTACACAAGCGACTGAGTCACTGCTGAGTAATCCCAAGGGTTGCGCTGTCTAACAATGGACAGAATCAGACACAACAACAAAGCATCTCCCCACCCCCACTCCTTTTTAAAGGCATTGCATGCATATTCAGAAGTGCCCCAGCCTCAAAAGGCCATGTGCTTACATTGTCGACTGTATGCGCCACTTGGCAAAAGGAAACTGACCTTCAGCTGATCACACACACACACAGTGAGAGAGAGAGAGAGAGAGAGAGAGAGAGAGAGAGAGAGAGAGAGAGAGAGACTGCTTCTGGTGCTCTTGAATATGCATGTCGATGCCTGCACCACAACTTGGCAGCAAGTCATTAGAGGCATACAAGGAGGCAAGGCAATGACAGTGAAAGGGGGCAGGTCCTGCTGGAGGAGGATGTTGCCATTGCTATGTCAAGAGTCTGACTACGGGCAAATTTAAGAGAGCTGTTAAGCTGGAGTCATTGCAGCAGAAGAGCATGCAATCTGTTCATGAAAGGAACTGGTAGTGAAGAACTCTGCTTGCTTTAATTCAGCCACCGCTGTAGGAGATAAAGGCTCGCTTCCTAGACCAGGAATTGCCAGCTTCTAGTATTCTTAGGGTGCTGCCCTGTATTCCAGGAAGATGTTCAGTGATAGAAATATAAATCAATCTTTTCATGGGAGGTCAAGTTGCACAGTAGAGCATACCCTCCAATATTTCTCCAATGAAAATAGGGACATGCTATTCAACAACAACAACAACAATAATTTTATTATTTCTATTCCACCCATTTGATTGGGTTGCCCCAGCCACTCTGGGTGGCTTCTAACATATAAAAAAATAAAAATAAAATATTAAACATTAAAAAACTTCCCTATACAGGGCTGCCTTCAGATGTCTTCCAAAGGTTGTATAGTCACTTATCTCCTTGGCTTGCCCTGCCTAGGAAGTAGTTGTCAGGATTATATGTTAAATAGATTTGGGATATTTGTTTTGCGAAGTGTTGTCCAGGCGGGGATCCGCTTATTCTGGGAAAGGCACCAGTGACCAGTCCATCTATTCTAAACACAGTGTTGATCTTGCCTGTTTATTCTGTTTACTCTAAATAGCAGCCACTTGGGGGCTGGATGGGAGAAATCACCTCTCCCCTCCTGCAGCTGCTGTTTGCTGATGGGTCAAACTATGCACTTATTGTTATAATTTTGGCTCACAGATAGCTGCTATACTAACAAGTACACTGTAGTAACATTACCCTTGGATAAATGATCATCTGTACCTTCTTTAATTCTTTTTTTATAATAATATTTATTACATTTCAATTGCAATAATAGCCTCATTATAAGAATGCCAAATTATAATACAATTACTAATACCAATCATTCAGATACCAAATTATATAATTTAGGTGGCCCCCTGTGTACTAGAATTGATGGTTTGCTGCTTTACTTTATCTCTGCATTCGAAAATTTTCTTATTTTCAATTACACTCCGGTCAAAATAACAATCCCTTATACAACAACTGCAATATTAACAACTTCCATTTGTATTGACACATTAAATGATTTATAAAACTACAGGTTAGGCCCTCAAACTGTATCCTTGTTCTTCCTGTGTGTGGCAATTATTCTGTCCTTGTAAAATATTATGTCTATCTTTTCCTGGTCATTGCTGTCCTCCTTCATGACTTGGGTGGAGCTAATATCCCATTGTTGTTTCTGCAATTCTCCCCTTCTTTAATTCTTACCCTGAAATGAGCGGGTTTCCTTTTGAATAAACATGGTTAGGGTGGGAATGTCCAGCTACAACCCCGATCCTAGAGAAATTAGTGACAAAATCTCCCATTGACCTCAATGCAGCAGGATTACATGTTAAAATATCCAGGTACAGACAGAGACTACCTGCAAGGCACAAACCACAGGAAAAGACTCGCCTCTTCATGTCCAGCTTGTGAACCTGCCAAGTCATCTGGCTGTTGGGCATACAATGGAGGATGAAAGGACCTGAATGTGAACTAACAAGGCAATAGCCGTCAAGAGCTTCTTTTTGTTTTACGTGTATATGCAAACAAAAGTAGCCCTGATGTTACACCTGCCATCTACCTACAGCTTGGCCTTTTGTCAATATTAGCTGGTTTTCTTATGCTTCAGCACCATTAACAACCGGCAGACAATCTTCCCATGCACAGCTCGGGTTTCAGGTTTTGTACAGGAGAAATGCACATCCTGTCATATTGGAAGGCAGAACTGAAAACAGGACTGCTGCTAATACTGGACTGGGCTTTAGGGACTCGGTTTCCTTGCGATTGGCACTAATTCAAAAGCATAATATTTTCAAGGTACAAAATGGCCAATCTGCTTGAGCAATCAGATCTTCTCAACGTCGCTGCTCGATGCCGTTTCATAACTCTTTGCAGACCATTAGAGGATATTAACGAAAACACTGCTCTGATCTCAGCAACAGTAGCTGTTAACAGCAGGAGTGCCCTTCCTGGAGATATTGATTTCTTTATCTGGGGTCTATTCTTAAGTGAGGATATAGACAGAACTGTTAATCAGAGATAGACAGAGAGAGAGCACGTGAAACTGCCTATTTCTTGGGCTGTAAGATATGTTATTTATAGCGTTCATGCATCAAAAGATATTCTGCTGTAACTATTTGAAAGGAAATATTCAGGGTGGAATTCAACTACCTTTTATTGATAAATAAAATAGACTTAGCCATGTTTATTAATTTCAATGGGTCTTCTCTGAGGAGATCTAGCATTGAATTCCACCCTCAGTGCTGAATTTATCTTTGTGAATTTATGGGATGAGTACATGATGATATATGACTGGATAAAATGTTGAAGTGGTTGGCAGGAGCTGGGACAGAGCAAGGGATTCAAACTGCCAACCTTCTGATTGGCAAGCCCAAGAGGCTCAGTGGTTTAGACCAGTGCTCCCCAACCTTTTTATCGCCGCGGACCAGTAAATGTTTGATAATTTTTCCGTGGCCCACTTGTTTTGATTTAATAATTTTAATTTAATTGTATTTAAACATGCCTTCAAAATAAAATACAGCTACACCAAAAAATGAATATAAAGTGATTTATTTTATTTAACTCACTAGAATGCCAAATCAATGAGAACCCTGAGCTTGTTTCTTTGCAACGAGACGGTTCCATCTGGGGGTAATAGGAGACAATGACACCCAAAGTGTGTTGCTTATGTCCAGTTTATTCCGTTGTTTTGTTTTGGTTGCTGTCACTGCAACTCTCGTTCCTTGAAGGTTTTTAAGCAGTGGTTGGATAGCCATCTGTCATTGATACTTTAGCTGAGATTATGCAGAGGGTTGGACTTGATGACCCTTGGGGTCCCTTCCAACTTCAGTTCTATTATTCTAATTATTTAAAGATGAAGAACCATAAGAAAAATCAGGATCCTTGTTGTTAGGTTGTGGGTGAACATATCAGACGGCACAGCGATTCTCCAAACAGCTCTTGTTTATTCACAGGTCAGAACAGAACTGAACTGAAGGGTTCAGCCAGCCTGCTTATATAGAGCTCCAGTACAACGTAACTCTAACAACTTTCTGTAACTATCCAATCACTGAACGTCACTTTCGATCCCTTATTTGCATATGTGGACCTGAACTATCTACAGTATCCCCCTGCTGGCCTAGGGTGAGAACTTCACTTGTCATTGCACTTGGACTGCAGACTGACGAGCTACATAGGTTACGGGATCACATTTGCCCCCACTATTTAATTATCTCATGCATGTCAGTCTTATACATATTTGCAACATCTTTTCTCTTGTTTTGCAGTAATACATTTGTTCTCTTTTGCAACATTGTCATCTATCTTCTGGGCATAACAGCCACACCACAAATCTTCCATTTCTAGCTATAGCTATTTGGTTATGTTTTAAAGCTCCATCTTTTATCCTGTAGATAGTCATACTGAATACAACAGAAGGAACCTTGGCTGGTCCATTTCATCATTTTTAGGGAATGCCCACTGATAACATTTCATTTTCTAGAAATCTGCTATGAGAATTTAATTTCAGCCGTACTCTTATCTGAACATGCTAGTAAATAACAACCTCCCTTCCAGCACCTCCATTAGGGCTCATATAAATGGAAATTTCTTTTAGTGGAGAGAACACAGCCATTTGAGCTGAACTGCATGATCCTTTGCCTCTGGGGAGAGTGAAAAGCTCGCTATTTTTCAGCATCCTATTTAATTTCTGTTTCAAATGAGGATTCAGCGTTCTTGGGATCCATTTATTTGCATGTACACCTTGACTGAAATGACAGCATTTCAGTTAAATAGGATGAACGATGTAAAAAGAGGTAATAAACTCAAGGCTAGCCATTAAAACAAAGGCTCGCTTTAAAGCAGGAAAATTGTATTGGTGCTCATTCAGTCTTAGCTTTCGTTGCCTCCGCCCCATCAGTGTTTTTTTGTAGGACCAAGCCGCACATAATGGGATCTCTTGATATATTTTTCTTTTTCTAAAAGCAGCGGGGGGGGGGTGATCAGGGCTGTGGTGTGGAGAGCAGGATTAACCCTTTCCCAGTCTAGGTCAGCTGTATACTAGCTACATCTGGTATGCTGGCTGAGAGCCTACCGGCCTGTGCACTGTCTCGCCAGGGTGGTACATGCTCTGGTCAGGATGAGGAGGGGCAAAGTGGTGGTGAGGGGCTCCCATTTCTGCACCCACCTTGGCCCAACCTCAACACTCTCCCCTTGCCCCATCCAAGTAGGCTGCAGTTCCAGTGTTGACAGAAGTGTAGCATCATTGCTCCACCAACATACCCTCCAACATTTCTCCAATGAAAATAGGAACGTCCTGTTTAATAATAATAATAATAATAATAAAATTTTATTATTTATACTCCACCCATCTGACTGGTTTCCCCAGCCATTCTGGGAAGCTTCTTTCTTGTTTTATATAATTTTATTAACTTTTCTGTTTTACAATTTAGAATACTCATTTAAACAACCTTAAAATATCAGTGACTTCCCTTCCTCCATAACGGGGTGAGCTCCCATTGTCTGTCCCAGCTCCTGCCAACCTAGAAGTTCGAAAGCACACCAGTGCAAGTAGATAAATATGCACCACTGCGGCGGGAAGGTAAACAGCATTTCCGTGTGCTCTGGCTTCCGTCATGGTGTCTTCTTGTGCCAGAAATGGTTTCGTCATGCTGGCCACATGACCCGGAAAGCTGTCTGTGGACAAATGCCAGCTCCCTTGGCCTGAAAGCGAGATGAGCGCTGCAACCCCATAGTTGCCTTTGTCTGGACTTAACTGTCCAGGGGTCCTTTACCTTTACCTATAGTTGGATCCAACCAGAAAATAGTGAGAGTTCGAAAGCACCCACAGAGAAACAGACGTGCCCTAAGCAAGCCAGACTCTTTACAGCACCAGTTTTTATGAAACTGCATGTGAAATGAACATTCCTTGCATTACAAATGTGTAAGACCCTGGCAAATCTGAAGTAGTGATACAATGGTCTCATCCACATCATAAAGTGCAGTTAAAGCACATGTCTTCCCCCAAAAGAATCCTGTGAATTATAGTTTGTTAAGGGTGCTGGGAATTGTAGCTCTGTGAAGGGTTCAACTATAGTTCTCTCTCCCCCCCGGGGGGGGGAGTTGTGGGGGGACGCCATGGCTGCTAAAATGGTTAGAATGTGCTTTGAATGTATGTCTACAGATGAAACCAACATTATCTGTGTGGCTGTGATAATTACCACCACTTGAGAAATATAAAGAGAAGCAAGCAAACTCTTTGGTGCTGCGTTATGTAAACTGTTAAGTCTTACACCTTTTTGTCAACATCCTTTAGGGAAAGAATTAAGCCTGCATGTATGCGTGCGTGAGTTTTCCATCCCTCAAATATCATCCCGTTTTGCCTCCTTCCCCTAATGGCATAATTGAAGTGCTCTGCAGAAGTGTAATCACTGGAACTATTCACAGTGGTGAGTAGGTTTTAAATAATCAGATAGGAAATAGGAAATGGGCCCTTCTCTGCAGCTATACGGCTCTGCTCATTTACTAGCAAATCTGCAAATGAGCAATAAACAGGATTTCATTAGCTGGAAAGCAGCAATGTATCATTCAAAACTTAATTCAGGACTGCGGTTTTGGAATGGGCTTGCTATAAAGGTGGCTGGTGTGCTATTAAGGTTGTGTCTTTTCCAGCCTAGCACGGCAGCAGTCTATAATTTCTCTTGATACGTTCTAATTGATGGATATAAAACTGGGCTAGGAGGAAAGAGTGAAACTTTAAAAAAGCTAACCTTCTAATTAAATACGGAGCAGAACGCACTTCTCCAACCTATGCTACTTACTACTTTTGTGCTGTTCAGTGGTTTATTTATTTATTTTTAAAATATGGTTCTGCATGTTCAGTTGCAGACCCGAGTCTGGAAACACGAGTTGTCATCATATGTGGTGGTCGTGTAAGGTAATGAAAGCTTTCTGGGAAATGATATATAATGAAATGAAAAAAAAATGTTTAAAATAACTTTTGTTTAAAAAACCCAGATGCTTTCCTATTAGGAATTGTAGGCACCAACATCCCAAAGGAGCAGAAAAGACTTTTTACAGTATGTACGCGACAACAACCACACGGATGTTACTAGCCCAGAGATAGAAAGAAGAAAGAGTCCCTAATAGACAGGAATGGCAAGCCAAGTTGATGGACTACGCCGAAATGGCAAAGTTGACTGGAAAGCTCAGGAACTAAGAGGACAAAAACTTTAAAAAAGAATGGGTAAAGGAAAATATTTTCACCAATATATGCCGTTCAATGCCTACTTTACGGGACATGGGTGGCACTGTGGGTTAAACCACAGAGCCTAGGGCTTGCCGATCAGAAGGTCGGTGGTTCGAATCCCCTCAACGGGGTGAGCTCCTGTTGCTCGGTCCCAGCTCCTGCCAACCTAGCAGTTTGAAAGCACGTCAAAGTGCAAGTAGATAAATAGGTACCGCTCCAGCGGGAAGGTAAACGGCTCTTGTTCGCCAGAAGTGGCTTAGTCATGCTGGCCACATGACCCGGAAGCTGTACGCCGGCTCCCTCGGCCAGTAAAGCGAGATGAGCACCGCAACCCCAGAGTCAGTCACGACTGGACCTAATGGTCAGGGGTCCCTTTACCTTTACCTATGCCTACTTTTTCCATGTATGTGCATTTTTATGCACATTACTTGGCCGGAGGACAGCACTGCAAAGTTCAGAGATGTGTAACTTTCCAAAGATGGCTGTATTTCGGTTCATGTTTTGTTTCAAAAAGTGCAGATTAGGTAGATTCATTTTAAAATGTGAACTGAATCAAATTTCTCCCTTATCCGGACTTCTTCCTATCATATTTTAGCTGTTTGATGGCAACCCAGGTTCCCAAATACAGATTTAAAGCCATTCACAATAAATATTTTTTTTTTCTAACTTGCTGGTCAGACATAATACTTTCATTTTTTCCAGCCTGCCACGATATAATTTATATTTTCTCTCCCACCTCACTCCCCTTCTTATAGCAGCTCAGCAAAAAAACCCCACACAAATAAAATGGAACATCAGTCCCAAATTTGGAAGTATTGTTACTGACATGGAATAATGCCTTTTGGTAAATTGACCTCAAGGGGTGCATACTCTAATATTGTCATAGATAATATGTTATCAGCATATAATTAGCAATGAATTCACCCAGAAAAACTGTAGGTTGTAAGTTGATATTGTCACGCAAGCTGCAATCCCTGGAGCCAAACCCTCTAAATAAATCGCCCGCTCCCCAGTGTGGGATGCTAAATAGAATTGAAATAGTCAGGTTACCTTATTTCAATCCTTTTCTTATTTCATCACCATTATTATGCTTTTAATGCCTTAGCTCAGTGTTTCCCAAAGTTGGATAACCAACTGTTTTTGGACTACAACTCCCATCATCCCTAGCTAGCGAGACCAGTGGTCAGCGATGATGGGAATTGTAGTTCGAAGACAACTGGAGCCCCAACTTTGGGTAACACTGCTAACCGAATAAATAGTTAACCATCTGCCACAATGAATGGCCATTTTTGACAATTTGGCAGGTAGAGTTTAGTGACCAAGCACCTGGTTCATGGGAGTTTGGCCCTAGTTTCATGACATCATATTCCTGTTTTAGAAAATTCTAAGTAATAAAAGTGTTTTCAAGATCTGCCTGTGGTCTTGGAGAGCTAACCAAGACCTACCCATGTATACTCAGATTTAAGTCCTGTTCAGTTCCGTAGGGCCGCCATGTAAACTTGTACATTTACTAGGGAAAAATCTACTTTGAGGTCAGTGGGACTTATTTCCAAACAAATATGCACAGAATTGCCACCTTGGTCAGCAGTACAGTCTCCTATGTCAGCATAACCCTCTTCCCCATCTTCCTATCTTCTTTTAAAAATATACCCCTTCATCCTTTTTGTTAACTGATGATCACATTTTCTTCTTCTTTGGTGATCACTCATAGCCAAGTAAGAGTGTCTTCCATGAACACGGTCTTACCAGTGAGTCTGTAAGGGCCTGTGGAGGCCAATTCTGGAGCCACACGTCCTTCCACAGTGGGGACAAAGGTTTCTGGGTGGGAGTTGATCATGGTGAGGGTTGCCAAGCGTGCCTTCCTCTTAGCACGTTTCTCCCTTTTGTCCTGAGTTTGAGCGTCTTCAAAGCCCATGACACCGTTGATAAAGGCTGTTCTCCAACTGGAGCTCTCACAGGCCAGTGTTTCCCAGTTGTCGGTATTTATGCTATATATTTTAAGATTTGCCTTGAGAGAGTCTTTAAACCTCTTTTGCTGACCACCAGCATTGCGCTTTCCATTTTTAAGTTTGGAATAGAGTAGTTCCTTTGGAAGATGATAATCAGGCATCCAAACAACATGACTAGTCCAACGAAGTTGATGTCGAAAATCACCTATTATTGTTTGAATGAATCAAGGAAATCCCCTTTACAGTGGTACCTCGGGTTACATACGCTTCAGGTTACATACGCTTCAGGTTACAGACTCCGCTAACCCAGAAATAGTACCTCAGGTTAAGAACTTTGCTTCAGGATGAGAACAGAAATCATGCGGCGGCGGGACGGCAGCAGCGGGAGGCCCCATTAGCTTCAGGTTAAGAACAGTTTCAGGTTAAGAACGGACCTCTGGAACGAATTAAATATGTAACCAGAGGTAACACTGTATTTCAAAGAAAGTCTATCTTCACTGTGTTCTCTGTACAGAATTCTTTCCTGTATTGCCAGAGTGACAAGTTCCATAATCCAGTAAAAGTTGGCACTCCCTTTATGGAAACACCTGTTTTGGGATCTGAGTTTTGCCCCAGGTACCCACACTGCTGCAGGACCTAGAATCATAGAGTTGAAAGGGACCCCGAGGATCATCTAGTCCAACCCCCTGCAATAAAGGAATATATACCTGCCCCTTACGGGGACTGAACCTGCAACTTTGGCATTATCAGCACCACGCTGTAACCAACTGAGCCTCAAACGTCAGCACCATATTGCCTAGTCTCACAACATTAAATGTCAGATTTAAATTACTTGCACAATAATTGATTAAGTCTAGCCTTAACTTCTTACCCATATTTCTCTGTTGCTCACAGCATGCCAATTTAATGTGATACAAATGTGCTTCCTGCAGTTACCTTACTGGAGAGAAAGCCAATTTTTTCCCCTGTCTGTCTTCTGCTGAAATACTGCTATGCACATAAACTGGTTTAGACTCAATATTGTTCAGTCCAACGGGGGCAAATGTGAGCAAAGAAGGACTGTACACACACAGTGGCGAAATCTCCAAATGAATCCGAACTTCAATGTCTAAAATCCCTGGTAGAGGACAAGGATCCTGAGATCACCTTAAGGGTAGCCAAATTTGGTGTGATTGCCATAAAACTTAGGGAACAAGCTGTGCTATCATAATGATTAAGACCTTAAATGATAATTTTAGGTTATATGTTAGTGACTAAGTTTTAATTTATATATTTTTTAATTGTTGCTATATCTGTATTGTCCCTGTTATACCTAATTGCAAATTGAAATGTATCCCTATCGTGTTTTATGACTTCCTTGATATTGTATGTGGACTGGAACTGGTCTGTGACCGAAATACCGTATTTTTTGCTCTATAAGACTCACTTTTTCCCTCCTAAAAAGTAAGGGGAAATGTGTGTGTGTGTCTTATGGAGCGAATGCAGGCTGCACAGCTATCCCAGAAGCCAGAACAGCAAGAGGGATTGCTGCTTTCACTGCGCAGCAATCCCTCTTGATGTTCTGGCTTCTGAGATTCAGAATATTTTTTTTCTTGTTTTACTCCTCCAAAAACTAGGTGCATCTTGTGGTCTGGTGCATCTTATAGAGCGAAAAATACGGTAATAAAATTCACACCGTGGCAGAGCTAGCTGCTCTGGCACCCAGAGTGGTGTGCACCTGGGGGCGGGACTAGCAGCCCACGGGGGCGAGGTGAGCATCCCAGGGGTGCGCTGCCCACAGTGAGAGTCCCAGGGGGTTGGTGCGGTGATGTCACCCCCCTCAGGGATGACACCCGGGGCAGACTGCACCCACCACACCCACTTTGCTCCGCCTCTGTACACACATATGCCTGAGCTCAAAAGTCAGACTCAGGAGCCTGGCCAGATTGCCTTGAAGAGTCAAGCCACCTACCGTTGCCTTTCAAGGAGGTGTGAGGAACATAACCAGCCTCTGTCCAGCTCTTCTTACACCTGAAGAAATGATCTGTGGTTATTGGTTATTCAGGACAATCTGACTGGTGCTAAGCAGGTACAGCACGAGACTCCTAATCTCAGGGTCAAGGGTTTGAGCCCTACGTTGGCTGAAAGATTCCTGCATTGCAGAGAGTTGGACTAGATGATTCTTGTGGTCCCTTCCTACTCCACAATTCTAGGATTCTATGTGCAGCCTGCAACTCTTACACTGGGAATTTCGGTCTGGGAAAATGCATACGTACAACACATTCATCCATGTGTTTCTCTCTATTGGAACAGGACAATCCTATGTAAGATATCAAAAATCTCTAGCACTGCAGACACACTTCTTAATATTTCTGCGTTAGGTCAATGGGCTGTGTGTGATTCTTTTTCTTTTAATGGAGTGAAAATGCCAGAGCAACAACTTCTTTCTTTGGCACTTCTCTCGATGTGTTTACAAACTGGTATTCATTTTATTTTTTTTGTCTCAGCACTTCCAGAATAAACACAAGGGATTTCTTTGCAGTGGATGAATAGCTTCAGGGTCTAGCATCATGTGTCTGAAATAAATCTAATGGCCAATGGAGCAAGGATTTACAAGCTGAGCTGGGGCATTGTCAGTTATCTTTAGCTCGTGCTTATGAAATCGTGTAGCTATAACGCAACGCTACTGCTGCGATTTTTGTGCAAAATTTTGTGCAAAATTTTTGTGCTGTAAGGATGCAAAGATGCATCCGTTACTGAATATGAGCGATAATGACTTCTTCTTGTTTCAGTGTATAAGCAGAAGTGAATGAAGTGTTTGGTGGAGCTCTGTCCTCTACTGAAATGAAGACACACTCCTCTCTCTCTCTCTCTCTCTCTCTCTCTCTGTGTGTGTGTGTATAGGAGCCAACTCCTATGGGCCGCGAGGGCCCCGGCCCCCGCAATAAAATATTTGTGGGGGCTGGGCCCCCACAAAGTTGATGGGGATTCCCATTCAAATGGTGTGTGTGCACTGGGTCATGTGATCAATTATGCAGGGTGGGGCTTACCTGCCCCCCACAATATTTTGTTCAAGTTGTGTGTGTGTTTGTGTGTGTATACATGTCAGGATGCTGTCAGAGGCTCCTGGCTGGTTGCCCAGGAAAGTATAAAGACAAGGAAAAGTTTCTTACCGCCCTTTTTTATTTCAATCTTTCCAAAGAGAGGCTATAGAACCCAGCCTCTTGAATAATGGAATTGCCCCGAGTGAATCTCCACCCCACCGTCTCTCCTACTTCCTCATTCGTCACTTCTACAGGTGCTGCTACATGCCCTCTGTCTTTGAGATCTTTGCTCTCCTACTTTTAAGGCTCACCGGGTTCTGGGAGATGGAGGGTCTGGGATGCTTTCTAATGACAACGTATCAGCCAGGTGTTGTTCTGGCTCTCCCATGATTTCCCAGCTTTCCCCCTCATCTGCCTCTGAGCTGTGACCTCCCTCAAACCCTTGTTGTAAATCTATACTGTCTTCTTCCTCTTCCTCCTCCCCGGAAGGGTCAGGATGGGGAAGTGGTTTGCCCATTCCTCCTTTGCCTGGTCCCTGACACCACTTGCTCATAGTCTTATGCTTGTTTCTCTTTTCTCTTCCTCTCACAGCTGAAATGCAGCCTGTAAATCCCTTGGGTGGGCAGGGACTACTCTTGCTTGTGCTAATTTGTAAAGTGCATTGATGCACACTGATAATTACAGTAGCAAGAGTAGTAATTATACCTGTCCTGAATAGACTTGACTGTAGGCTGCTTCATACGTGATGTTTTCCTTGCTCTGGGCTGGGGAGGACAAAAACACCTTGTGTGTCACCTCTGTCACAGTCAGGCCTGCACCCAATTTTGTTTTTGTAGAATCTCGTTTGTCCTCAGCAACCAAAATTATATTATCAACATATACAAGCAGAAAAGTTGTTTTCCTTCATTTGCAAGGAATTGTACAAAACAAAGTGGCACTAATAAAGAAAAGTTCCAGGGTGGCAACAGAAAGCAAACTAAAAATGCTTTTGCAGTTCATCAAAACTATCCAGCAATATCAAGTTATAGGAAAACTGGTGCTATTAACAGTAATCCTTCTAGTTGGTTAATTGGTTTGGCAACTTCCATGCACGTGACGTGTGATGCTAATTATTTTCCCCAAAAGTTAAATGATAACTAATCAGAAGCAGCTACAGGAGAGCTATGAGATTCAGGTGGGGGTCAGATGCCTTGTCAATCCCAGCAGGTATATAAGAGGACGACTCGGCCTGCCCAGCATGGAAGACTTGCGTATAGTACACAGATCTGAAAGGGCCACAAAGGGTAAACCACCCAAAAGGTATGCTGAAGAGTTTGCTAAAACAGTAAAAGCAGATACAGCTGTTGTTAGTAACTCAGAGAAGGTTTGGGAACCTTCAAGCTTCCAAGAGGTCCAAAGTTTAACCTCAGAGGATGCTGAGCCATGGTTAAATGCCATGAAGGCTGAACTTGATTCCTTAGAGAGGAACAAGACATGGGAACTAGTTCCAGGCCTGCCTAGGCCACAAAACGTTTACAAAGTTCAGTTATTGCAAAAGTTTTTCAGTGTTAATTTTATGCATTTTTAAAAATCACCATGGTATTTAACAATAATATCTTATGTCCTTTACATAAAAAAAGAAGAAGATCATGGCCACTGGGCCCATCACCTCCTGGCAAATATAAGGGGAAGAAATGGAGGCAGTGAGAGATTTTACTTTCTTGGGCTCCATGATCACTGCAGATGGTGACAGCAGTCACGAAATTAAAAGACGCCTGCTTCTTGGGAGAAAGGCGATGGCAAACCTAGACAGCATCTTAAAAAGTAGAGACATCACCTTGCCAACAAAGGTCCGTATAGTTAAAGCTATAGTTATAGTTAAAGAATTGACACTTTTGAATTATGGTGCTGGAGGAGACTCTTGAGAGTCCCATGGACTGCAAGAAGATCAAACCTATCCATGCTGAAGGAAATCAGCCCTGAGTGCTCACTGGAAGGACAGATCCTGAAGCTGAGGCTCCAATACTTTGGCCACCCCATGAGAAGAGAAGACTCCCTGGAAAAGACCCTGATGTAGGGAAAGATGGAGGGCACAAGGAGAAGGGGACAACAGAGGACGAGATAGTTGGACAGTGTTCTCGAAGCTACCAGCATGAGTTTGACTGAACTGCGGGAGGCAGTGGAAGACAGGAGTGCCTGGCGTGCTCTGGTCCATGGGGTCACGAAGAGTCTGACACGACTAAATGACTAAACAACAACAAATCTTATGTCCTTTAGAGGAGAAAATGTGAATTGTAGAATTTTAAATACCCGTCATCATCCTTGGCTTCACTCAATTTTGTTTATAACCCTCTTCCATTTTCTTCTAGTTGTGAGAGTGGGGGGTGGGGAGGGGCCTCTCTTCATCCAAATCCAACCCTGGGTTAGGCCTCCTGTCACATATCTGCAGCCTTTGTGACTTCATCCTTCGTGGCTCCTTTTTGTGCTTAAAAACTCTGCAGGAGATCCCATCGCAGACCTCCTACTTTCCTGCTGAGTCACATCCCAAATCTATGCTCACAAACGAGCATATGCACGAATCCTTCTTAACCACTCCCCTTTACGAAGACGTGCCGTTCCCCAAAAAATCTCCTCCTAGTTTTGTTGCACATAAATAAATGAACAAATACATAAACAGGATGCAGCTCTAGACTTTCCAAAGCCCAAACCAGCCTCTGCTTTGTGCAGCCGACTGAAGAAAGCCCTCCGTATTGCGGGCATGGTTAATGACAGTGGAAAGTAAGCATCAATTTTGTTGAGCAGCATTAGAATACAGGACCTCCTGCCGCGCTCACCAGTAACTTGCTTTGCACAGCTGCTTTCTCAGCTGGGAGTTCTAAATCAGCGCTGCGAGAACAGACAGAAATGACCATTATGCATTTGCTCACGATGGCAATTTGCCTTGCAGTTATGGAAAGGTACTGTTCAATTAATACTCTAACCTTCTGCTTTCCTACAAGCGCCTTCCTTTCCCCTTTCTCAAAACAAATTCAGTCTGCTGAGCTCATGGCTTTATAACGCTGCTGCTGGATTGGACTTAATTCGTTCCAGAGGTCTGTTCTTAACCTGAAACTGTTCTTAACCTGAAGCACCACTTTAGCTAATGGGGCCTCCTGCTGCCGCCGTGCCGTCAGAGCACGATTTCTGTTCTCACCCTGAAGCAAAGTTCTTAACCCGAGGTACTATTTCTGGGTTAGCAGAGTCTGTAACCTGAAGCGTATGTAACCTGAGGTACCACTGTATATTATTTTCAGTGAAGACAGGAGTGCCTGGTGTGCTCTGGTCCATGGGGTCATGAAGAGTCGGACATGACTAAACAACTAAACAACAACAACAACAACAACATTATTTTCAGTGTGTCTACTCTGAGTAGGAGTGGCACTGAATGCAACCTAGTGGGTGAGATTCAGCTAAAGTTGCCTGCAGCTGCTAACCATATGGTTAAATGGCTATTATACGGTTTGTGACATTTTGAATTCTCCCCGGTGTGCACACATCTTTGTTTCACAGCCCTCTATCTTTGGATTATAGCAGAGCTTATATGCAATATTTCCTCCTCGGACTTTATGTTGGCATACATAGGGGAACTGGTACCAAGTGGTCTATAGTCACTTCAAACCAAGTTGGGGTCGCAGTCTTAGACGCATGTATCTTCATAACTCCCCTTGAGCTCAGTGAGGTTTGCTTAGTAAACATGCACAAGACTGCACTGTGTGTTACAAGGTTTCATATTTCCCTTCCATAGGCATATGGCGATTGCCATGCTGGGCCAGACATATTGTCTAGCTTATCAGCTTGCTTCCAACAGTGATGAGCATTGGATAGCTCTGGCTTCAAAGAAGATGAAAGAAATTAAGCGGTAGGTGGGACAATCCACTCCAGCTGAAGGTTTCATTCTAATCCTTTGGATGTAAGTGTATTGATTCAAAGAGTGAAGTGGTTGTTTGGTATAATTTCTCCCAAATCTTTCAAAATGGTTTCCAATACCGGGTTGTTGTTTTTTTGGGGGGGGTCTACTTTAGCCCTTTGAGTATCAGTTCAATCTCTTTCAATCCTCCCAAAATGGTAGCCTTGTTGACAATTAATGTGAGGCAATAACAATACTCTCTACAATTTTGAGGGTATGCCAGCACCGGCCTGCAACCTTTTTTCCTCCAACACTAAAACTAAGCTCTGGTCTTCGTTTTCTAACTTTGAATTGAGGGAAGGCCTCACCCATTTGATTTTTGGTCCAGAGCTTTTGCTTTCTTAACAGCCCAGTACCTTCCCATTGTTCTCTTACTGGCTCATCACCTTTCCTTTGTTTTCTTAATGGCTCATCTCCCAGGTGATCTCCTGAACATGGGAAGCTGGATCCAGGGTTTAGGAGTCCCCCCAAACCTTGATTAAATTCTGAAACCTACTTAACCCAGGAATTTAGTGGAGTCTGGCACCTACAAACTCCCTGGCCGGGGAGGGCGGGGTACAAATTAAAATTTATTTATTATTATTAATAATACCAATGACACCAGCCCACAGCGACCCCAAAAATCTGTTCCCTTGTGGCTAGAACTTTCCTTTTTAGGAGAACAGTGAGGAAAGGGCTTTGATTTGTTCTAGAGAAAGGGGACGCCGCAAAACCAGGTGTTCCCGACCACATTCCTGATGGGAAATGACTGCTCGTGAATGAGTGCAGAGAATACAGGACCTGTTTAAAATGAGAGCAGGGTTTCCACTTCTGTTTTGTTGCCAGTATAGAAGGGGAAAAACCCCCACAAAATTTCAAGGCTGTGCTAATGTTCTTTCTTAAGCCACATCCCTGAAAAATTATTAAGGGCAACAAGCTATATTTTTGACAAAGTGTCCAAGGTAACTATTAGAGAGCTTCTGATACACATGTACCATATTTCTCGCCTGTCTAGCACACACTAATTTACCCACCTGTTCTAGCCTCTATCGGCTGCACAAATTAGATTGTCTCAGGGGAGGTTGTGCAGCCGATTGGTTCAGCCTTGCTACCAAGGCAACCATTTTCTCTCCGCTATATGATTTAGACACTGCTTTACAACTCAGGTTTGGCTGGCAAACAAAGAAGCAGAGTGGGGAAAGACATTGGTTCTATGTTTGAACACAGAGGCGGTCTGTATTTAATGAATATTCACAGTGGAATTTTATTCGGTAAAAGTGGAGAAACTGCATTTCCTAAACGTGAGGGAGAGAAACCCCCCCCATCAATTCTTTACAATATAGCAGCTATATAGCTAAGCTAATGAAAGATGAATGAAACATTAAGACTACCCCCCCATCCAAAAAAGTGAAGGAATCTTAAAGGGAAACAAATTAGTATATTCATTGCTTCACATTTTTTGTGCAATGAGGATTAGATGCACAGTTGTCTTGATCAAAGTCATTTGTGTAGAAAAGAAACCTTCATTTGAGAAAAACCCACATGTTGCAAGCAAATATGCCTTTGTCGCATTTATCCTGTCTTTTCAGGATGTGGGGACAGGAATAGTGTGTTCCACTCTGAAAATTAGATTCCTGAATCCAAATATTTAGTGGTGTATTTAAGATTTATATGTCAGTGTTTCAGAACTCTGGAGGCTTCCAGTTCTTGGCTTTAGGCTCCTCTCCTCTTTCTAATTTTGCCTTCGCCTCTCTGGCCATCTCCTGTACTCCAGATTTCTCTGGATAAGTCCGCTCTGATTTCCAACCCCCCTTCTTGAACACTCTCTGATTCCTTGGTCTTGCTGCCTATTACTTTCAATGGCTCTCCTGCCCTAACTCATAGCTGTCAACCTTCCCTTTTTTTGCGGGAAATTCCCTTATTCCAGTGCCGTTTCCCACTGCTTCCCGCTGCTATCCTGGATTGTTAGATATCCTGTAGACTGTCCCCAGGACAGGTGAGGCTGCTGATCCCTTATTTTCAAATCTGAAAGTTGGCAGCTATGCCCTAACTGCTCTCTCTTAACATCTGAGCAGATTATCCAATGGCAACTGGAGACCACTGCTGGCCTCTCTCTGTGTGTCATTAGAGTCACTTGCAGTCCTGTTTACATTTAATTATTAGGATTTTTTTTTTTACTTGTAGCTAGGATAATCCATTCAGTTCAAGGAAGGGTATTTAGCAGTGGCCCTAAAGCCACCTTCTTCAAAAAGGAAAGCACCATTATCATTTGTAATTCCCACTAATACCCATGGAACTTTGCATGCTGAACTGGTCTCTGCTGGTTGGCCTGGTGGCACTGACAAGCTTTGCATTGCAATTTATTTTGCATCTTTACTCATGTCTCCAGTTACTTTTAGGTTAATGTAGAATTTATATGTAGTGCGGTGAAAAGCAATTTGTTTCCCCCCAATTTTACGGTACTTGAGCTTTGTACATATATAGTTAGCAAACATAATATCCATTACTGTAGACTGCTTGTCTGCTTCTTCCTACAGCTAGTCCCTATGGGTCTATTTACTGAACATGCCCAGCCCCATAAATAGAACAATCTCTCTTGATATATCATCTGGCAAAAAGAGAAAACTGGGATGAGTAGTTATGAGCCTCTTCAATTGCCATTATGGGGAACTATGAGGTAGGAAGAGAGGAATCTAGAAACAATGCAACGGGGAACTTGGCATACACTTTATGCGATGCCTTCACTAAGAGGGGAAGCGGGGGCAATATATATCTAGTTTATATATTGCAGAAGAACCAAGTGTTCAAAGATTTTCCTGGATCGAACTACTTTGGTCTGTAGATCGGCAGTTGTGTATTCAAATGCTATATCATGGAAAGCTTCTCTATATGCAGAATATGAACAGGTTGTATTAAATGGCTTGGATTAACCTTCTCTTTGTCACATGATTTTTCTAGCTGCAAGGAATTGTATATTTTTATAGAGGAACATTCAACGTCAAACCCATACCTGTAGCCTGAGGTGCAATAGCTCAGGAGAAGCTTTAAGACTTAATGCCAATGGAATTAAAAACAGAGGGTCATATATTAGGGCTTTTTAACGGATTAACACATATCTCTAGCTGTTGATTCTTTGAGGATGGACCAGGAGGCATTGGTCATTTCAGATTCATGTAGGTGGCACCAGAGAGAGGTGAAGAGGAACAAGTGACAAGTAGCTCACTCTGTTTCAGGGGTGGGGAACCTGAAGAGCCAGTGTGGTGTAGTGGTTAAGAGCAGTAGACTCGTAATCTGGTAAACTGGGTTCGCATCTCCGCTCCTCCACATGCAGCTGCTGGGTGACCTTGGGCTAGTCACATTTCTCTGAAGTCTCTCAGCCCCACTCACCTCACAGAGTGTTTGTTGTGGGGGAGGAAGGGAAAGGAGAATGTTAGCTGCTTTGAGACTCCTTCGGGTAGTGATAAAGCGGGATATCAAATCCAAACTCCATCTTTCCTGATCATTGGCCATGTTGTGTGGGGCTGACTGGAGCTAGAGTCCAAGAAACACCCCTGCTCAGTCTATGCTCTCCATTTCTGAGTTGCTGTGATCACTTGAAGAAACAGGGCCAATCCTACCATTAGACAGAATGAAGAAGTAGAGAAGCTGTCCCCAGTGCTGAAGTAAGAACCAAAGACCGTATTTTTCGCTCTATAAGACGCGCCAGACCACAAGACGCACCTAGTTTTTGGAGGAGGAAAACCAAAATACCAAAAAATTCTGAATCTCAGAAGCCAGAACAGCAAGCGGGATCGCTGCACAGTGAAAGCAGCAATCCCTCTTGCTGTTCTGGCTTCTGGGATAGCTGCGCAGCCTGCATTCGCTCCATAAGACGCACACACATTTCCCCTTACTTTTTAGGAGGGGAAAAGTGAGTCTTATAGAGCAAAAAAATATGGTAAATCAGGGAGAGATGCCAACTTGTCCTTTTGCCTCAGGGAGCAATATGTGAAGGGAATGCACTTTTCTTCCAAAAAATAACTGAATTATAAAAAGGGAATTTGAAGAAGGCTGCAATCCTAAGCATACCAATTGATAACTAGCTGAGATTACTGCATTGCAGGGGGTTGGACTAGATGACTCAATGAGGCCCTTCAAACCCAACAATTCTATGGTGCCCAATGATAAGATCATTCTGTAATAAAAAGAAATTGTTACTTGGGGGAATTGAATTGAATTCTAAATTATATTCCGGAAATGTGGGAGATTACAAGCGGTAAAAAAATATATGGATGTACCGTGCTATATTAGAAAGAAAAAAACTTGTTTTGATGAATTGGAAGAGCCGCGAAAAGATTCCATTGAGCACATGGATTGATAATATGGACAGATTAGCTACATACGAACGAATTGCATGTCGACACAAATTAAGAATGGATAAATATGAAGAAATCTGGAAGGAACATTTAAGTGATAAGGCGGATAGTGGTGGGAAGTAGGGGGAGGAGAGAGAGGTGGGAAAATATTGTTAAAAAGGTGTAGTCATAGGTATATCAGTGTATTCAAATCTGAATTGTCAAATTGTGTTATCAGTGTCATTATGGTTTTTGTTGTATGTGTCTTTTTACGGTTGTTGTTTGTATTGAAAAAATGATTAAATATTTTTTTAAAAAAAACCAATTCTATGATTCACATCAGAGAAAATGTGTTTAGGAAAAGAGTGTAATAAACTCCATCTCCACCTCCCCACCAATCTAATATGTGAGGCCAAGCTTCAACCTCCCCAAAAGACTTCCCCCCATGTCTGTCTCTCTGTTTGTCAATCTTGCACATTTAGTACAGACCAGGGGGGGGGGATATGAAATAGAAGTGTGAGTAAGCTTCTTACTGCTACATCTTGCAGAACTCGCAAGACTATTTCGAATGTTGACCTCTTGCTGCAAAAGTCTAAGTGTGTATGTGCACATTATAAATTATCTTATCTTATGGACTCTTACTGTTTTTGCATTTTGCACTTAAACTTTATTTTTCAGCTGCTTTCCGTGGTAAAGCCAAAAACAATGAAATACTGATTCATGCGTCAAATCACATGGTCAGCAAAGTAGTGTGTGATGCAGGTGGAACTCGTAGGCTGCATTATTAATATCTCTGGACTAATGTACTCAAGGGAGCCATATATAAAGTTGTGCTTATACATCATGTTGCAGCACAGGCTAATACTTTTTTCAACTCCAGCCTGAAATGCCTTCAGAATGCCGGCATATTTGTCTTACCTTCCTTCAGGTGTCTCCATACACATATCTGTTCATCAAGTTATCTACTACTGTGGAGAGGGCTTCCTTATCAGCTTAGGGGGGAGCTGTCTATGGTACCAAGTTAGTCTCTGTTTATAAAAAGGTAAAGGACCCCTGACAGTTAAGTCCAGTCACAAACGACTCTGGGGTTGCGGTGCTCATCTCGCTTTACTGGCTGAGGGAGCCGGCATTTGTCCATGGACAGTTTTTCCGGGTCATGTGGCCAGCATGACTAAGCCCCTTCTGGAGAAACCAGAACAGCGCACAGAAATGCCATTTACCTTCCCACTGGAGCGGTACCTATTTATCTACTTGCAGTTTGACATGCTTTCAGACTGCTAGGTTGGCAAGAGCTGGAACCGAGCAACAGGAGCTCACCCCATCCTGGGGATTTGAACCGCCGACCTTCTGATCGGCAAGCCCTAGGCTCAGTGGCTTAGACCACAGCGCCACCTGCATCTGTTTATACATCACAATAAATATGCAGCTATTACTCACCCATTGTCATCAGACAATTTCCTTAAGGTAGTGTTATGAGCACATTGCTTTTCTTTCCCCCAGCACTCAGCATCAAATATATTTTTTCCTGGGAAAATGATTTATGCATGCCCACATGCACATATGCATCCCAGCCTTGTTGTTACTGCAAGGTGGAATATGTTTGCACAAGTATTATATTGGATAGCGCCCATAACAGCTATGCAACACAACTCCAAACACCTGTGGAACTTTGAGGTACCACTAGGGTTGCCATACATCCAGATTTTCCTGGACAAGTCCTGGATTCCAATGACGGAATTAGTATCTGGGGAGAATCATTGAAAGCTCAACAACTTTCTCCAAAAAAGCTCAACAACTCATGCCCATGTAGCCTTAAGAAAAACAGAAACCCATAATGAACACCTCCATTTATTGAATGGGAATGGTATATTGCACTGATGAACCTAGTATAAACGTAGCAGTCAAAACTGTACAGCAGGGAATCAGTTTGTGATCTGTTGAGGCCCATTCATATGATTGTCAGCTCATAGTTAAGATTTTACCTTTGCTTTCACTAACTGCATTGCTTAGCCGAGTAAAATAGCAATATACTTTGGAAACACTTGAATTCTTATATATCCACAAAGTACCCACTATGAGAGATAGTGTGGACAGAGTGCTGGGATTAGACCCAGAAGATCTGAATTCAAATCTTCCTTCAGCTATGAAAATTACTAGGTGACCTGAGATCAGGCATCATCTCTCATATTCCTCACATTGCAGGTGTATAATTGATGAAGGGCACTTGCCTGAAAGCTTATGTAAATATGTGTGCATGGGAGATCTGAGAAATCATAGCCCTTGTGTGCAGGCTTCCTGTGCATTTTCAGTCAGAAGTCACACATGACAATGCACACTATGAGAATAATTGGTGGGAAAAATTTGGAACCATATCTTTCCTGTAATGTCATAATGAGCTTTAGTTTTGCTTCAGAATGATGTTTCCTCCTCTATCAGAGACAATATGTTTCTGAATGTCGGCTAAGAGGACTCAGAAGTGGGGAGTGTGTTGTTGCACTCAGGTCATGCTTTGGAGACGCGGGTGGCGCTGTGGTCTAAACCACTGAGCCTCTTGGACTTACTGATCGGAAGGTCGGCAGTTCAAATCCCCACAACGGGGTGAGCTCCCGTTGATCGGTCCCTGCTCCTGCCAACCTAGCAGGTCGAAAGCACGCCAGCGCAAGCAGATAAATAGGTACCGCTGTGGCAGGAAGGTAAATGGTGTTTCTGTACGCTCTGGTTTCCATCACAGTGTTCCGTTGCACCAGAAGCGGCCGCATGTTGGCCACATGATCCGAAAAGCTGTCTGTGGATAAACGCCGGCTCCCTCTGTGTGAAAGCGAGATGAGCACCACACCATAGCTGTCAACCTTCCCTTTTTTGGGTGGGAAATTCCCTTATTCCAGCGTCATTTCCCGCTGCTTCCTGCTGCTATCCCGGATTGTTAGATATCCCGTAGACTGTCCCCAGGACAGGTGAGGCTGCTGATCCCTTATTTTAGAGGCTGCTGATCCCTTATTTTCAAATCTGAAAGTTGACAGCTATGCACCACACCCCATAGTTGCCTTTGACTGGACTTAGCCGTCCAAATTCCTTTACCTTTACCTTTTACCTAATATTTCAGTTTGAAGGTGTAAACGTATGTGATGTTTAAATGCTTCCTTAAGGGAAAAACCAATAATACAAAACTCATTTCTGTATTGTAAGCGAGATAAGTGCCACAACCCCATAGTCTCCTTTGACTGGATTTAACCATCCAGGGGTCCTTTACCTTTTTTACCTTTACCATGCTATGAAGTTTCCCATAGGCATCTGGTTGGACAAGATGTTGGACTCGAGGAGCCTTTGGCTTGATCCAGGAGGCTTTTAATGACCTTGTGTTCTTAAGACTTGAATTCAAGAGGATTTCTTTCTATAGGGCAGAAGCTCAGAGCAAACACAGCAGTAAGCCTGATAGGAGCCCAGCAACCCTGGTTATGTTATCTTTGAGAAGCTGTTATGAATGAATGTATTTGTGCAGTTGTTCTGGTGTTTAGCACCCATCTCATTCTCTGTGTAAATGGCAGTTTGCAGGACATGAATATAAAACAGTATAAAACATGATACAGTTAATCATGTTCATGCCCACTATGGTTTCATTTTTTTAAAACAAAGAAACAAGGGTTCTTGCCTGTTCAATACCTTGCGATAGCATTTTGGTCTGTGTGGAAATCTGCTCTCTTAAGTTCTTCAGAAGCAATATGTATGCTAACCTGTCAACCACACTTTTGTTCATTGAACACAGTTGCTAGGGAAACCAGCTCCTTTATATGTGCTCAAGGTAGCCATCTTTTCCTACTCTGTCTCAGGGAATTGTAGCCAGATTCGCAGCCCCGAATTCAAGACCATATACTGCAGCTTGCTTAACCCTTAAGTTGGCCAGAAATATGCTGCAAGACCTGGCCTGTCAAACTTAAGTGGTGCCCGCAGCTAGGGTATCTCTCTCGGCACAACCATTTTTAGCTCAACTGCTAGCAGCAGAGCTGAGATCTATGCTCTCTGTGCACAAAGATACATTGCATCTCTGTCTCTATCAGTAGAGGCTAGGCCACCCTCTGTCAGGGGAGATGAATATGCTTTGCTCCTCCCGCAACACTGTCCCCCGATGCAATGTTTTTATTCATAAGAGCAAAGGGCAACCAATCTGCTAAATGGGATGCACTCAGGTGGAGGGATATGTCAATTGCAGTTTCTCTTGGTTTCCCATTTTTCCAGTCTCAACATCAATTCCCCACATCAGTTTGTGCAATTTTTTTAAGCTTTCATGAAAATTCTTCAGCATTTATCGTGGATTTTCTTCTCTCTCTCTTTTTAATTTTTTTTTATTCAAAATTAAAACAAGACATATTATCCAAAAACATATCATCCTTGTCCCCCCCCATTTTTCCTCCCTCCCCCTCCCACACAAAACCCACCCGCCCCCACCCCCCGACTTTCCTCAGTTCCAGTCTTTGGTTTCTTTGAGACTGCTGTTTTCTGCATGTTTCAAAGTTGTATAGATCCTCAAACTATTTAGCTGATTATTATCAATAAAAAGTTTGTGGATGTTTATTCAAAACCTGCCAAGGAGTCCAGTTCACTTTGTTGCGTCTTCAAATACTTTGTGAAAGGTTCCCATTCATCCTTAAAGTCACAGTTATCCTTGTCCCGTAGCTTATATGTCAGTTTTGCCAGTTCTGCATAGTCCATCAATTTTTCTTGCCATGATTCTTTAGTTGGGGTTTCTTCAGTCTTCCATCCGTGTGCTACCAGAACTCTCGCGGCCGTTGTCGCATACATGAAGATTTTTTTCAGCTTTTTTGGCAGGTCTTTCCCTACAATCCCCAACAAAAATGCCTCGGGTTTTTTTTAACAAATGTTAAATGGAACATTTTCTTCAATTCATTGTATATCATTTCCCAACATTTTAAAATTACATTACAATCCCACCACATATGATAAAATGTCCCTTCCTTTTCCTTACACTTTCAACATATATTTGAACTAGTTTTGTACATTTTCCCTAACTGCCTGGTGTTGTGTACCATCTATACATCATCTTCATGTAATTCTCTGTGGATTTTCTTCTCAATGCACACATTTTTGCAAAGCAGTTTTCCCCGACATAATGCATTTTTGTATTTTTTAAAAATACTCATATATGCATTTCTATGCACACTTATCTTAGTATGTGCATTTTAAAACCCACCACATGGTTAGAACACAGCATTACCACATCAGTAGACGGGTGAATTTTGAAGGAGAACTGTATTTTGGTTCATGTATGAATTAAGTAAGTGGACATTTAAATGTATACTAAGTTGAATTCCTCCACTGTGAAGGACATAACTTTTCTCCCATTTGACTGTGTTCTAGCTTGCAGACCATTAAGTCTTTCTCACAGAAGTCAATAGGAATCTTTCAAAACCAAGCTAGACCATTGCCATTGAGTTCTGTTTTTCGGTCACACTAGAGCAGAGATGGGAGCCTTCCTTTTTATGTCAGGTTCCACATACCTTTGGGATTAATCTGTCAGGACCACACATCTAGGGCAGATGTGTCCTGTTTTCCGCTGCCACCACTGTTGCCACCCCTTGCACTGCCCGGCCTGCCGCCAGTGAGATCTCACCCAAAATCAAATTAAATCTTGTGTACTCCAATGCTGCTGCTGCCTCAGGGGCTTCTGCTGCCTGAAGCAATGGTCTCACCGCACCTAATGGTTGAGCTGCATCAATGGTTGAGCCGGATCAGGGACGCGGGTGGCGCTGTGTGTTAAACTACAGAGCCTAGGACTTGCTGATCAGAAGGTCAGCGGTTCGAATCCCCACGACGGGGTGAGCTACCATTGCTCGGTCCCTGCTCCTGCCAACCTAGCAGTTTGAAAGCACGCCAGTGCAAGTAGATAAATAGGTACCACTGCGGCGGGAAGGTAAACAGTGTTTCCGTGTGCTGCTCTGGTTTGCCAGAAGCGGCTTAGTCATGCTGGTCACATGACCTGGAAGCCGTACGCCGGCTCCCTTGGCCAGTAAAGCGAGATGAGCGCCGCAACCCCAGAGTCGGTCACGACTGGTCAGGGTTCCCTTTACTTTTACCTTTAAAGTCAGCAGTGTGATGGGGCGGAGGCCAAAAGCCTGTTATAGGTGGAGCCAAAACAAAAAATGAGTGGCACCATTCATTTCCTTCTGTCTTCCCCTTTTCTCTCTCCCTCTCTCTGCTTCTCTCTCTTGCTGCTTGATTTCTGTATTGATCGGGGAGGGAAAGGCTCAACTTTTTCCTCTTTTCAGCAAGACACACAGCAGTCACCCGCTCTGTTCCTCCTCCAGTAACTTGCTTGGCTACAGCAGGACAGGTTTGAGAGATGCGGGGCAAGGAAGTGAGGCAGGAATGTGCAGTGGACCAGATATGGTCTGGGGGTTGGTAGCCTTCCTCACCCCTCAGAGTTTGACGGGACCAAGGAAATTCCCAATTTGTTATTTGATCTTGGCTGCCATGTTCTCCTCCTTCAAGCAGTGAATTTGAGCAGGATCCCTTTAGGTAAGCCAGCTCCACACCCAAAGGAAACACAATGCGTTTATTATCTGCATAGCAGTGAGGTGATTGGCAGGCGTGCTTTGTTGTCTCAGCAAAGCATCCTTACAAAAGCAACTGTGCCTGCTGAACTTCTTCCTTGCCACACAAGCTGTTAAAAACCTAGGAGATGGCTTCCCTCAGCAGGTCAGGGTTTTTGCTGTTGCTGGGGTGGCGGCAGCGACAAGGTGGCATGTATGACATCGTATCAAATATAAGTGGAGAGAGCGAGAGCCAAATCCGTTGTCTGAGCACAAGGACAGAGATGTGCAGGCACATCCTGAAAAATCATCTTTCTCCTTCACAGCTAGGAGTTAATGAGGGAATTGTCTGGATTTCTAATGAAAGCGATCGCACTGAGCAGGGGAACAGCACTGTGGATGTATTTATTTATTTTTGGTCACCAACCATATGCTTGGGGACAAGAGCAGCAAAGAAAAGGCTGCTGAACAAGAGTGTTGATTTTTCATGTCACAAGGATGCGTGCTCTTCAATTTAATCCAATACAGTCACTTCTGGCTAATCTTGAGGTCCCAGAGCCATCTGTTATGTTGCACCAGATTCCATCTCCTGAGAGGAGGGGGTTGGGCGTCCCTGGAGATGCTTCATCTCCCATGAACTCGCATGTCAAGCCAGAATGACATCATATTTTTTGCAGAAGCTTGTTTTGGGGGTGGGGAAGCATCTGTCCCACCCTTTGCGTTGCCTTCTCTGTATTGCTCTGGGATTTGATCAGCCCAAGGCAAGCAGCTCCTCTCCCCTCTTACTGAGGAACTACAATCCCAATCCTTTCCAATAGCAGTCATGCGACAACACAGAGAAGCATATTGATTGACATTAAGGAGTCATTTTATTTCTTATTAACTGTTTCCCTTTCTGGGTGGAGATGCCCAAAGTGGGAGACAAAGCATATAAAGAAGAACACAGCAAACGCACACACACACAGTGACAACAATCAGCCATGGTTAAAATTTCACTCAGAACATTGAAAACTCAGCACAAAAAATAGCATACTAACACCGTCAAAATAATGCAGAGAGGCCAAACTAAAACACCTCCCTATGCAGACCAAAATAGGTAAAGGTAAACGACCCCTGGATGATTAAGTCCAGCCAAAGGAGACTATGGGATTGGGGCGCTCATCTCGCTTTCAGGCTGAGGGAGCCAGCGTTTGTCCACAGAAAGTTTTCCGGGTCATGTGGCCAACGTGTCTAAATCGCTTCTGGCACAACGGAACACTTGACGGAAACCAGAGTGCACGGAAACTCTGTTTACCTTCCAGCCTCAGCGATACCTCTTTATCTACTTGCACTGGCTCCTGCTAGGTTGGCAGGAGCTGGGACAGAGCAACGGGAGCTCACCCCATCATGGGGATTCAAACCACCGACCTTCTGATCAGCAAGCCCAAGAGGCTCAGTGGTTTAGACCACAGCGCCACCCGCATCCCCCAACAGTAACAACCATAGGAGGTAGGTTAGGCTGGGAGGAAGTGACTGGTCAAGCTGAGCTTCGTATCTGAGTGGGGATTTGAATCTTGGCCTCCCAAGTCTTAATCTGACATTCTAACCACTACACCTCACTGGGTGTCAGGTTGAGGCCATAGTGTGTGGGTAGCCTTGGAGTCCAGTACAGCCATATCTGGTGCCGCCTGGGAAATTATTATAAGAAAGGAAGAACAGACAGCAGAATATTACCACGAAATATGTATTGTACAACCTTAAGACTCTAGTTTAGACCACAACACCATCCGCATCCCCTACACCAAAATAATCCATAAGCAGCAGGAGAATCGAAAGCTTGTTGGAAGGGAAATGCTGAAAATAAAATTGTAACACAGAGGGCAGTGAGGCACATAGAAGCTCATCAGATGATCTCAGCATGTGGGCAAATTTATGTGGGCAGAGGTGGTCCTGATCTTGCACTTTTTAGAGCTTGAAAGAAGATAAGCTGCACTCTGAATTGGGCTCAGAAACAAACAGGAGGCGCTTCTTCTAAACCTGAAGCAGCTAAATGGGCTGTGTCAGATGTGTTCATGGCCAGCTACCCTAATGATACTGTTCATCCTGCCCGACTTGTTACCTAAGCTTGAATTCAGCCCAGCAGCTATGTATGGTGGTCCAGCAGGGGCTTGACAGATGTCCTACAAGGACTGTAGAGAGTGGGGAGGAAGGTTGTCGCACGCCCGACAGCTCGCAGTAGAAAGCTGATAGGTTTCATTTGCTTTAGCTGGCTGTGAGTTATCCAGCCCTGATTCCAGGCGTTCCTGCGCATTTGAGGCAGCTTGTATTCACAATAGATGCAGAGTATGCTCCCCCCTGAAATTCTTGCAGTTGGTTTCCCCTTCGCGAACATGAAAACCTTGCCTTATTTGGCACTCTCACCTGATTCTGACACAGAGGTGGCTGAGCAATCTCTATAGCCAGATGGTCACTGTTTGCTTACATTACCAGGCTCTCTTTCTCCCTTCCCTCCGGCTGGGAGATATTCAGTCACTGATCCTTCTTCAGATTTGCCACTCTCAAAATTTGCAAGCATTATCTCAGCCTTACTAACATTGGCTACACACCCTTTCATGTCCCCCCACCCTTCATGTTGAGTTTTCCCACCATCACACTTTCTACAATCTGTAATGCAAGTGTACTACACAGTGTACTATCTTGAGGTAAATGTGCAGAAGGGTACATTTGTGTATATCTCTCTGTGTGGGGGAGCATTTCCCAGATTAAAAAGGATTAAAGCCCAAAGGCATAGCAGGTGGCTGCACTTATCAATTTCTGAAAAAGAGAAACCACATTCACAGGTGTATTTTAAGAGTAACCAATTATCTATACAGTGGTACCTCGGGTTACATACGCTTCAGGTTACAGACTCCGCTAACCCAGAAATATTACTTTGGGTTAAGAACTTTGCTTCAGGATGAGAACAGAAATCATGCTCTGGCAGCTCAGTGGCAGCAGGAGGCCCTATTAGCTAAAGTGGTGCTTCAGGTTAAGAACAGTTTCAGGTTAAGAACGGACCTCCAGAACGAATTAAGTACTTAACCCGAGGTACAACTGTATATGTATCTATCTATATCTGTGCCATTCTGAAGACTGCATACGCATATGGCCCCCTTGTTGTAGGCTCATTTCAAGGGGTTTGGGGGATGGAGCAGCCTTTGGGATTTACTGTATTGTGTCTATAATTAGATGCTCCAGATTTCTTTCTCTGCTTTGTTTTCGCCTGCAGGAGTCCAAGGCAGAAGGCAAAAGCTAATTTTAGCCCTAGCATGAAGAAGACAGAGCAAAATAGGCTGAAGTGGAAACTCAAACATGCTGAAGATGTATGAAATTCTGTACATGACGGTGGTGATTCTTCCTATTCTGGCTTTGTGCATTCTGGCACCTCACCTAAACGCTCAACACATGACAACGTGCAATTGAATGCCAGAGTGGACTCAGTGTGTGGTGCATCTGAGGTGATATGAAATGTCTGTGGTGTTGGGTCTCTCATAATCCACCAAGTGTTGAACATGTATGTGTGTTACATTTGTCTGACGTTTGTGAAGCCCAACCCACATGGAACACATTTTATTACCAACCTAGAAGTGACCTCTTGTTCTACATTTACTTTTGATACACTGCTAATCTAGTAAGATACACAACTGATCCAATGAGGACAGCTAGAAGAACTGCAAGGGATTTTCCACTCTAGTTTTGGTCTGTGAATAAATGCAGCCTTCTTTCCTTGTGAAATTCTTTCCATGACGTGACCCTGAGGCTGTATGCATTGCCCTGTTTCCTTACCATTGAGTGAAAACAATCAGATGTCCGGGTTGACCATGGCCTGGTTTGCATGTCAGGCTAAGCCAAACCATGGTTCACTTCTGATGCGTGAGTGAGTGGGTCTTCATATAGGAGATTGTGGCTGCTTTGCTCCTCCCCAGTCATTCTGCTCCTGTGCCACCATGAGCTAAGTCATGGCTTGGTAAAGCTTGTTGTCGGAACGCAGGCTCATGGTTTTACTTTCCTGGACAAACCGCAAGCCATCAATTGTTGTATAAACTTTGGTTATAGCTCATGGTTGGTCGGGAGAGAAGTAAGCCATGAAACTGAGTGTAAATGACACACTAAGTCAAGCCATGGCTGCACAGGAGCTAAGTGACCAGGGAGAAGAAGAAAAAACAACTGTGATCTCCTCTCTCGGAGCCAACATATCCACTTCATGCTGTCATAGTTTTGGCTTAGTGTAGTGTGATCCAGGCCAATATATAGGTGTTCAACTGAATGTGCTTACAATCTCACTTCAGATCTTCTAACTCAATGTGCAAATGTCTTTTTTTAAATGATTTTTATTAGTTTTCAATTACAATCCAATAATAGCCTCATTAGAACAATACCAATTTATAATACAATTATTAATAGCAATAGTTCAAGTACCAAATTATATAATTTAGGTAAGGTGGCCCCCAGGTGCTAGAATTGATGGCTTGATTATTCCCTTTATTTCTGCAATATTATTTGCAATGTTTCTGCAATATTAATATATTCTATTCGTGTTGACACATTAAATGATTTCTAAAACTACAAGTGAGGAACTCAAGCTATTGTCAGGAGTTCAGCCTACACTCAGGTAGGACAATGGCAGAAACACATGCCCAACTGGCATGTTCCCTCCCTCCTGGTCGATCATTTGGGAGCTTCATAAGCTTTCTTCTGCCCGAACATCACAGCGACCGATGCCAACCGACACCGGCACACTTAGGGATCTGCAGAGTTTGCGCAACTTGTGTGACAGACCTCAGCAACTCAGCATTTTGGCTAATCTACTTTATTTACATATAAACACACACGGAGCACTACAACATGGCTCCATCTCTCTCTAGTATCAGACAGCAAAGAGAAAAAGAACAAAGGACAATAGTCCCACTTCACGGAACACAGTAACACAAACATCCTGCCTCCGTCACATCCCACTCTGTGGAGTCAAAACATATACTGTCATGTGGAAGACAAAAATCCCATGACTGCAATCATAGATCAGGAATTCTAACAGCTATATCCTTGTTCTTCCTGTATGTGGCAATTATTCTGTCCATGGTGTTTCTTCCTGCCCTTGTAAGATGTTATGTCTTTCTTTCCCCCGGTTGTTGCTGTTATCTGCCAATGTGCAAATGTCTAGGACTGAGGTGTCAAGATTGGCATGCAAAAGCCTTTGCTCCCTCTGTGGATAGATGTGTGTCAGCGTATGGTCAAATCACCCTCAATGTCCACCCACTGAGATCCTCTAACTGATGATTCTGTCTATTAATTGTTTTTTATATTGCCTTACACGACAAGGAGCGCTCTCAATGCTGTTTTCAAATACAGTGGTACCTCAGGTTAAAGACTCTTCAGGTTACAGACGCTTCAGGTTACAGACTCCGCTAACCCAGAAATAGTACCTTGGGTTAAGAACTTTGCTTCAGGTTGAGAACAGAAATTGTGCTCCGGTGGCACAGCAGCAGCAGGAGGTCCCATTAGCTAAAGTGGTGCTTCAGGTTAAGAACAGTTTCAGGTTAAGAACAGACCTCCGGAACGAATTAAGTTCTTAACCCAAGGTACCACTGCAAAGCGTAAAACAAAACAAAAAAATGTTATATTCTGTGTAATGAGTCAGCTAATTCTAAAGTAAACTCACATAAAATACTACCCTGAAGCTTTCTGAAACTCGCAGAATGGTGCTCTACAATATTTGGGGCCCGCACAATTTCACCCTCAGCCAGAAGGGATGATGGGAGATGGAGTTGAGAGGTTCCTGGGGGGCCAGAGATTCCTGATTCCTTTTGTACATCAAGCCACTCAGAGCAGGCAGCGCTGCCCTAAATAGGCTACTAGTCTCTGACTCATCAAAAGGCATATGTTCAAGAAACATCCTCTGCCTTTTTCACTAATCCTACTTGTATGGAAGCTGGTTGTAGCTTTTCAACAGTGTACAAGAGATAGTGTATTCATGCTGAAAGGCAAGATGTTCATTATTGCGTCACATGCTCCAGAACCCAGAAACTGGGGATATGCCCCAGTGCACCTGTGAGCTCTACCAAATAACACTTAAATGTTCCAATACATTATAGCTAACACTCGATAGGGCATTTGCAAAATGCTTTAGAAAGATCAATTTACCTTTGCAGCAGCTCTGCAGAACAAGGCAAGCTTGCTGGAATGACTATTATGAGATGCTAACCGTTAATTGTATTTTCTTCAGGGAATAGTTATGCTTGTTTATCCAGAAGCAATAATTGTGGCTGCTAATACCTGGAAAACGAGAATGATTTTCATCTCCTACTTCAGTGGAAAATGACAGCCAGTTAATCATATTAAACAGCAGCTCTCTATGTTCGACTTGCCTTCGGAGGTAGAGCAGGAGGTGAACATGATATCAGGGCAAGGAACAGGCATTTTTATAAGAAGTTTAAAATAAAGCAATGAAGCCAGAGCAGATAAGCAATGAATGACAGACCCAGTCAAACTCAGCTCTGGCTTAACTGATTTGTGGATAAAGATGATTGGAAGGTCGGCAGTTCGAATCCCCGTGACGGAGTGAGCTCCCATTGCTCTGTCCCAGCTTCTGCCAACCTAGCCATTCAAAAGCATGCCAGTGCAAGTAGATAAATAGGTACCACTGCGTCAGGAAGGTAAACGGCGTTTCCATGTGCTCTGGTTTCTGTCACGGTGTTCCATTGCACCAGAAGCGGTTTAGTCATGCTGGCTACATGACCCAGAAAGCTATCTGTGGACAAACACCAGCTCCCTCGGCCTGAAAGCGAGATGAGCGCTGCACCCCATAGTCACCTTTGACCAGACTTAAGCATCCGAATTACTTTACCTTTTACTTAGTATTTCAGACTGAAGGTGTAAATGTATGTGATTTTTAAATGCTTCCTTAAGGGAAAAACCAATAAAACAAAACTCATTTCTGTATTGTATCAGAGTTTTGGCATAATTTTCACCAAAATGTCCTACATGCAGGATTTTATTCCTATTGTTAATAATAATAATAATAATAATAATAATAATAATAATAATTAACATGATGGAGTATTTAAAAATAGAACTTGCCATCTGTAACTGTGGAGTTCCAAATCCTATAATCAAAATGTTTATTCGGCTTTACGCCCATCATAAAGCACAACACACAAAACAAATCAAATAAAACAGCGGTCTCGTACAAGCCACAAGTAATATAACACAATTCACAGCTCACAAGGACAAATATTGGCAAATCAAAACAGAAATTTAAGATTAAAGTTAAAAATTTAGGCACTACGCTAAAATCAATATCTGATGTCAATATCAAAAATTCTTATAACTATCAATAATCAGCTAACATTCCATTCCGTCTCTTGTACGAGAGAACGGCTGTTAGGAATTTAGCAACCTGTAGAGTAATATAAGGATCTGCATCTTGAAGAACCCAGGCAAGCTGTAGGTCTACTGGTTTGTCAGCCATAGGCTGGATTATGGAGTTTAGTATACTAGCGCGAGCTGAACTGTACATAGGGCAGATAAACATAACATGATGTAAAGATTCAGATGTTTTCATTTCACAAGCACACATTGAAGGGACTTGGCCCTTAGTGAATCTATGTCTCAGCACGTTTGTTGGAAAAACATTGAACCTGGCTCTAATGAAGGCATATCGGTGAGATGCGGCTATAAGCGATGTTAAGTAGGACGGAGCACGATAGATAGGGGTTATGCCGAGATTTAACGGGGAGCAGGCTCCACCACCAGCTAAGAAATTTTGGTATAGCTCCACATCATCCAGCCTTTGATTTATACACCTTTTTGCCGCGTTTAGATCCAGTTTGAGCAATTCCGTGGGCGAGATCTCATAGGACAGCAATTTGGCATGGATTTTTCCTGACCACAAATTTGTGAAGTCATCCCGCCACATGCATTGAATGAGATAATGGTTCGGTAGTTTATGCCATAGGGATATCCAATAAATCAAAACTCTCCTCCATAAAACTAACTCCACTGAGGGATCTTCATTTCTAAGCGAATAGCCGCATTACTTACGCATGTTGGTAGTTTTAGAAGTCGGCGTAAGAATTGGCTTTGAAGCGACTCTAAAGGTGAGAGGTTTGCAAAAGCAGCCCATAAAGGTGCAGCATAGGCCATTGTGGCCATCACTTTAATGCTATACACTTTCAAGGCCGCAGGGATGAATAAGGCCCCCTCAGAGTAGCAAAAACGGAGGAGGGAGTGTGATAGGGCTTTTGTCTTGTTTTGAAGATATTCAACGTGCGCTTTCCACCCTAGATTATATTGAAAATAAATTCCTAAATATTTAAATTTGTGTACTTGTTCGATTTTCGTGCCCTCCAATTTCCATGAATATAATTTTCGACTCCTTGAAAATATCAGTACTTTGGACTTGGTGTGGTTGATAGACAGATGATTAGAACGGCAATATGATGCAAAAATCTTTAGTGCCCTCCTTAAACCCACTCTGG